CACAAGCACCATTCATTCTTCAGGAGAGATCACATGTTTGGCCACAAAGCAAGTCTTAACGAATGTAAAAAGATTAAAATCATACCAAGTACCTTTTCTGATCACAATTAAATGAAACTAGAAATCAACAGCAAGGAATATTAGAAACTTGAAAAATGCCATATACAGAAATTATACCCACACTCTTGAACAATCAACGGGTCAAAGGAGAAATCGAAATGGAAACCAGAAACTATCTGGAGACCAGTGAAAATATAGTGCACCAAAGCTTATGGGATGCACCAAAAACAGGACGAACAGGGAACTTTGTAGTGATAAATGCCTACATTCTAAAGGAAGTAGGATCTCCAATAAATCACCTAACTCTACACCTCAAGGAACTAGAAAAAGAACAACACACTATGCCCTAAGTCAGCAGAAAGAAGGAAATAAAGGTTAGAGCAGAAATAAATTAAATAGAAAATATAAAAAGACTAAAAAAATCAACAAAACAGATGTGGCAAACACATGCAATGAAATGTTACTCATCCCTAAAAGGAACAAAATCCTGTCCTGTGCTACCGTCTGGAAGAACCCTGAGGACAACTTGCTAAAGAAGGCAGAAGGACAAACTCTGCACGATTCCACTTACACGAAGTGTGGAAAGTTATCAAACTCATGGTGGTAGACTGTGCAATGGTGGCTGCTAAGGGCTGGGGAAAGGGAGAAACGGGGAGTCCTAGCTCCACGGGTAAATAGTCTCAGTCATGCAAGGTGAAAGCATGCCAGAGATCTGCTGTACGACAGTGTGCTTAGAGCTCACGGTGCTGTGCTGCACTCTTGAAACTTCGTCGAGGGTCTACCTTGTGTTATGTGTTTTCTTGCTACAATAAAAAAAGTGAGTGAACCTTACAATAACAATCAAAGAAATGCAAATAAAAAATTACCACCTGTCAAATTAGTACAGATTTAAAAACGCTAGTGAGAGTTCCCCAAGGCAGCCTTTCCCATTCACTGCTCCTTACAGTGTAAACTGGCAGGCACAACCACTTTTAAAAAGGCTTTGGAAATATGCATCAAAGGGTCTTAAAAATGTTGGTACCTTTGATGTAATAATGTTGTTTGTAGGAGCCTGTTCTCATGCAGTAATAACAAGTGTAAATATGTTTGTTTACAAAAGCAAAAAATAGAAATCTTCCAAACATCCCATAAGCAGGGAATGGTTAATAAATGTTGACACAGATGATAAAACAACAAAAATATTTAGGAAGTTTTAGTGACAAGAGAAAACAGCTCGCAATATAATATTAAGTGAAAAAAGGCAGGATAACAAACTGTAAAGTGTGGTTATAGATGGTATTATCACTACTATGTAAAAAAATTTAAAATAGATGAAGGAAATACATAAAAATGTTATATGGGGTTGTTTCTGGATAGTGAGATTATGGATATTTAAAATAAGATTTTTACAAATCCTTTTTTTTTCATGTTTTCCAAACTTCTGATGATGGCCTCCTATTACTTTCCCAATCCGGAAAAATAGGTATAATTAAAAATGAAATATGATCTAGGTTTCATGAAAAAAGGTGATCAGTTTGTCTAAATATGTATTTTTAAATATATTGCAAGACTAAATTACTCTTTAGTCTTTGCAAACATAAACATGTAAGGTAGAATGCAAAGTGACCAAAAATTAGACTCTTTATCTTAGAAATACTAGAAGATATTTGATTGATTTTATTTGATTTATTTTAAGGTATGTTTAAGTAAACACACACTTTTTCACAGAATTTTTAAATTCTAATTTAGTAGAGGTAGACATAGCAGGGAGAGAAATCAAGGGAAAACTTTACATTATTTGTGTGGTAAACATATGGCCTCTCATCATCCAAGTAACAGCATCAACTCCCTCTGGGGTTCTGTGGGTGGGTCATCCCCTTCGGGAGAGTGGTTCAGGGGAGACAGAAATGGGAAGGCAAGCAGGGAGGGAAGAGGAGGGTCTGTCCTGGCAGCCAGGTCGGCCAAACCCACTCTGGCTTTCGGTGGGTTGGCAGATGGCACAGCCAGATTGTCCCACCAGCCTGGAGCTACTAACTAAAACAATTACATTCAAGAAGAGATAAATTCATGCTACAATCAGATTCCAAATATTAGCTGGGGATGACAGTGTAATATTCTAATTGGCTTAAGTTGTGAGCAGAAAACTCTAATAAGGGATGCGCAGAGAAAGGTACAAGCTAGCTTCCATAGGGATGCAAACACTGACTCTTTGAGAAAATCATGTTTATGAACCACACTGCTCAGCCCCCCTCCTGCCTTGCCATTTAATCTCACATGAGATGTGTTCTATTTCTTTAATCATTTTTTTGTTATTCTATTACAGTTGTTCCTATTTTCCCCCTTTGCCCTCCTCCACCCATCCTCCTCACTACCCCCACAGTCAATTCCCACACTGTTGTCCACGTCTGTGGGTCGTTCATTCATGTTCTTTGTCTAGTCCCTTCCCCTTCTTTCCATCTTCCCTCCATTATCTTTCCCTCCCCTCCCCTCTGGTCATTTTCAGCAGTTCCATGTTTCCATGCCTGTGATTTTTTTTGTTGTTAGTTTGTGTTCTATTACCTTCACTTACATATGTTCCCTTGAAATCAGAGAAAGCAAATTTGAAGATCTTGGGCTCAATCTTGAAAATAGACATGATTTTGCTGGGCCATGATGTGTTTAAAAAAAAAAAACCCAACAAAATCTTGAATGAGTTGACGATAGTTAAACATTGAGAGATTTGGTGCAAAAATCGAGATTTGGGGCTTTAAAGGGATTAAATTTACCAACCGTGAGCTGATATTGTCAAATGACAATAATCAGCTGGAGATGAGTGACAGATACCCTTTTAGGTGGCATAGGCTCACCAATTTGCCACAGTCTTCACTCAGCCCATTTGCCCATTTGCATTTCCATTCCTGGCCCCTGCACACATTCCTGAGGTTTTCAAAAACTAATGTGTCAACCCTGAGCTGCCTAGGATAACAAGCCTCCATTGATACAAAACTCATTCAAAACAGCACTTCCTGTAAGTAATTCTGATTAAGACAGTCCTGATTAAGCACTACAAACATCCTCAGAGGCATGGTGGGCAAGTAGAAAGAGACGCCCCCCTGGAAGTCAGGGGTGCTGTGGGCATATAGAACAGAGGGCCTTAAAAGGGACATCTTAAGGGAAACTCACAGCCTAGTGTTTAGAACTTAGTAGGAGGTTAATAAATATTTGTTTCCACTCTAAGAGCAGATGCAGAGCACAGTGAGGAAGAAATGGAGCCAGAACAGTGTAATGCAATGCACCAAAGCACAGCATGCCAAGAGAGAAGGAGGGAGGAAGTAATTGTAGCCTAGAGAGCAGCAGCAGCAGCAGCAGCAATAGACCAAGCCAAGAGAAGTTAGAATGACAGAGTCAGGTACTGTAATAATGGGGACTGCATAATTGTGACATGATTCTGACAGATGTTTGCTAGTCACACATCTATATGCTAAGCAAAAGCATAGAGCAGATAGATGAAGATGGCATTAATCAAGTAGAAATTGAGACAGAAATTCACACCAGGACACTGGTTGAAAGAATTCGACCCTTTAATGAAGGATTGTTCGTTAAAACTATAACAGAATATGTATACAAGTATAGGGAGCAGGTAAAATGTGCAGAATAGCTGTATTCAGTTGAAGGATAGAATTTCTATCCTTAGCTGAAGTAAGTTAATTGTTTAAAATTGTTTTGTTTTGGGCTTACCATTGGTGTAGTTTTAGTTACTTCGGAATAATTTATTTTGAAAGCCTCAATTTTCCTGAAGCAGCATGTCACTACAGTAATAACCTGGCAGAGAAGATTAGACAAAGGGTGCTGAATGTGGCATGGAAGGTTACAGATGCAATTATTTTCTTCCCAGCCCTTTGTTAGGGTCATAGCCAACCAGTCACTGTTTACACATAGGGTAGCTTTTGCAGTATTTATTTCTTTAAATATTTAATAGTCTTGAGAAGCAGTGACTGGCAGTAATATGTAGACTTTCTAGCATGTTGTGAATGCTTAATAAATGGTAACAATAAAATCCTGTATGATGAAAACAGCAGTCAGTAGACCTGTTAGACTCTAAAATACTTTAAAGCAGTAGCAGTAACTATTTAGACAAGTATAAAAAGCAAACAGTGCCTTGGCTAAATTATGATAATAAAGGAACATTTATATTCACTAAAAAGTTCACCTAGGTAATTTCCTCTTAAATTCCTTAAGGAATTGAGAAAAAGTATGGGAAAAAGTGGATAGAGGATGGATAAAAAAAAAAACTTAAAAAAAACAAACCCTGCTGTGTGGAAACCTGCTGACCACGAACTGGGCAGCTACATCCTGCACAGCGGCGGAGTGCTCCAACTGCCTTCAGAACTCCCTCTAACCCATTACCAATTTCTAGACGTCTCCAAGCTCTGACGGACTTGGTTTTGGAAGAGGAGGCACGCAGGTGCCTGTGTGAGACACCTTCAGATGTATGTCGCAACACAGTGACCCCGGGAAAACAAATGCTTTTATACCCCCGACAGAAAGTTCTTTATTAGCATTTAAACCTGGGAAACTAGGCTACCTGAGGAACCTGGACCGTTGCGCTTTTGGGATTCTGCGCAGCCCTCAGCAGCTGGAAAACTCCGCAGCGTGGACTGAGGACCTAGCGCTCTAAGTTTAGGAAAGGAAGCGAGGGGGGGGGAAAAATAGAGCTGCTCCTTTAAGAACTTCCTTTCCCTTTACTCTATGTTTACATAACATGGGGGCTGATCCGCCGCGGGGCCCGGCGAGGGAAGGCGGGGAGTGGGCGCGGGAGGCCCCACGCACGGCAGGAAGGAGCGCCGCGCGGGTCCGGGGCTGCGGGCTCTCGGCTGGGGGCGGGGCGGCTCCCACCTGCCCGCGCGCGGCGGGGCGGCTCCGCGGTCCTGCCCCCGCCCCTCCCCCGCGCGCTGCCTCCGCCCCTCCCTCCCTATCCTGTTCCTTTCCTCCCTCCCGCGGGGCTCCGGAGGCGGCTGCAGCGCTCCGCGCAGGCAGGTCCCCTGCTGCCCGGTCCCATTTGTTGTCTAGTCTGGCTCGGGGCGGCCGCGGCTCGCGGAGCTCCGGGAAGCCCGGCGGGGCAACCGCGCAGCCACGACGGAGCAGCCTCGGGACTGGCCGCCCCGCGCCCCATTCGCCGCCGTGCCCTTCCCCGGCGCGCTCACCCCCTTCTCGGGATGGGATTGTAGCGGCGGCGCGGACTCAGCGGGGATCGCGGCGGAGGCGGCGGCGGCCGAGCGGGGCTCCATGTTTTCCCCCGACCAGGAGGAGCACTGCGCTCCCAATAAGGAGCCAGTGAAATACGGGGAGCTGGTGGTATTGGGGTGAGTCCCGGCATCCCCGACCTCGGGGAGCTTTGGGGCTGGCGGCGAGCGCTCCGGGCTGGGTAGCCGCCGCGCGCCCGCATCCCGAAGCGGCGCCAGCGGGGTGGCTCGGACGCTCTTTGGGGACCACCAGGGCGCTGGGAACAGCCAGAGCGCCTGGGAGGGCTGGGACGGCGGGCGCCGAGGCGGGAACTAGGATGCGCTCTCCGCGCTGAGGACGGCGGCGGAGGAAGTGGAGGAGCGGGCCCGGCCCCCGGGCGGCGGCGGCGGGGACTGGGGTGACCCCACGCCCCGCAGAGCTCAGTGCTCGCGGACGAAGTGCGTGGTAGTACCCCAGGGGCAGGGGCTCGACTTCCCCGAGAGTGCCGGGCCGCGGAGGGTCGGTCGGGGCCGGGGCTGAGGAGCCACCGTCGCTGGCACTTGGCTGTGTCGCAGGAGACCCTCCGATTGGCGGAGCTGAGCGGCTCCCGAGGCCCGGCGCCGGGGGGCCCTCTGTTCCTCCTCGCTATGGGCCCCGGGCCCCGAACTCTGAGCGAGGCGCAGCCAGCTCGGCGACCTCGGCCGGCCGAGGGATCTGCGCGGTGGGCGTCCGCGGGCAGCCCTTAGGACATTGTTACGGCGACCGCGGCGGGCGGCCGCAGCCCGCGGGCTGTGAACTGTCTCTGACCCGGGCGGGCCCGCAGGCCCTCGGCTCTCTGCGCCGGGAGCGTCCCGGAGGGGCGAGGACGCGGCGGCGCCCGGCCGCACCCCCTCGGCCCCTCCACCCCGGGCCGTGGCCTCGCAGACGTCCTCCCGGCGGCGGGGAGCTCGCCAGCCTCGCCTTCCTCGGCTCCCTCTCCGCTTGTGGAAACCACATTTTGAAGCTAGTAATTATCCACGATCGTTAAACGGCAGCAGTGAGAGACTTCATCTACTTCCCGAGTTTCCTTGTGACATTTCTATTGTTTACCCTTAATAAGCCGGGAGGGAGGCTTCGCCGCCTGGAAGCTGGATGAAGTGGGCAGTGAAAGGGAAGCGGACTGGGGAGGGGGAAGCGCAGGAAACTCAGGAGAAACAGCAGCTTGGGTTTAGTACTGGAGGAGAAAGGACTCCTTTCTCCTTGGGATATGTCACTCCCGGGAACCCGCGCTTTTGCCCTTGTCTGTTGAAAGACCTGTACTCAGAACATCATGGGTGCTGATAAGTGGGCTTAGCACACAGGTGGGAAGGATGGGAAAACTCAGAGCTCTGAAGAAAGTGTTTTGATAACGGAATACCTCGAAGTGCGTGTCGACTTAAAAATCATTTTAGAAGATTTTTAAAGGGAAGCTTCCAGACACAGGACAACTCAAAGTTGTCTAGTCCTCACTTTGCCGCTACAGGATTAAGTTATTGGAAATCTCATTGCTTATTTTGAAGCTATGTGCAAATAAGCGTTTTTCTCACCTGCACCTAATTGCACTTAAAAGACAGATGTTAGGGTTCACTGGAAGGAGGGAGGGACGACAGGAAAAAAGGCAGAGGTTAGCTTCTCTTATGTAACCTCAGCCCAACCTAATTTTGCAGAGTTTGGTTTTGTTTGTGTGGCTGGCTTCAGAGTGTGTTTAACATGGTGAACCTGACAGGAAAGATTAAGTTGTGCCAGAACTTTATTTCATTATTTCCTTTTGAGGAAGTCATTGTCGAGATGCTTCAGAAAAGCAATGTGTGAGTGGGCCTGGAGAGGTTTTATGTTCATAGGTGGAAGTGGAGGGCATTTCAAAACCCTAGAAAGGATTTGTACCCTGGATTGTCCCGGTGTCATAGGCTCACTCTAAAGTCGGCTCTGTCAATGCACAGCCGACTGAGTGTTCTCTAATGCTTTCCCAGGAGACCCCGAGTATGACATAGTTGGCACTTACCTGACACTGTGTGCACCTGCTATGTGCGGGCACTGTGTAGGCATTGAGGATCAGCAGGGGACAAGGAGCTTTCATTACAGTGTGGTGTGGCAGGCGTGAACAGAAAGAAACATGTAAACAAATGAATAATAAATGACAGTTTCAGGTGTTGCCAAGTGTTCACCAGAAGCAGGTTAACTCAGGGAATGTCTGCTCCAGGCAGGTGTTTTCTTTAGGAGGTCAGGGCAAGCCTCTGAGGAAGTGAAATGTGAGTTGAGGCCAGACTGCTCAGAAGATGCTGGTTTGGTTTTTGAATACTTGACACAAATTGTGGTCTTTTTCTTTTCTTTCTTGAAAGTAGGTTTTTGACTCTTTAGCAATATTGAATACATCAAAGAATGCCAGGGGAATAGTGAAAAGGTAGGTAGACTTTAAAAAGACCCTTAATTCATACCCACCCTTAGGACTTGAGACCGTGTCTTCCCTCTTAAAACAACAGTAACAGTGAAATAAAAAAATGTTGACCTTGCATGCCTGATCATCTAGGACATAAATATTGGTAAACAGAGAATGTGTTGTAGATTGTCTTATTGATACAGTTAATCTTAAGATCGAAAAATGGTCAATATTGAGCAGAAAGGAAAAAGGACTCATGGACACGGACAACAGTGTGGTGATTGTGGGGGTGGGGGGTATAAGGGGACTAAATGATGATGGGAAAATACAATAAAAATTTTTAAAAATAAAAATGCTCAATATTGATGGAAGTTTTTATAAAATACAAGGCTTCTTTTTTTGAAACTGGCATGTGACTCTCCTTTTTGGTTCTCTTAAAGTTTGTAGTGAAATGTCACTGAAGTCCTGGAGTGCAGACAGGAACTGTGTGTGTCTGCACACATACATGTATATGCGAGGACCTGTATATGTGTATGTCCGTGTCCATCTAGAAATACTTCTGCATCTTGTCACGTGTTACACGATATCAAGGGAATTTCCAGGCATTTAGGATTTTAGTAGGGTCACCGCTTTCTTGGTACATAAGTGGAATTTAATTATTTCATGACTCTGACCAGTGAATGTAATCACAGCCCCAACTCTTGGCTGTGCCCGTGACGTAATTGAAGGAAGAGAAAATGATTGGTCTCTTAGGTCTTTTTCACCGTGTTTTAAACCTGGCTACACTGTTAAAGTTGGGCAAGTGTGTCAGGATTTGAGAGGCAGTTAAGTGTAGCGGGGAGAACAGGAAGGTACAGTCAGGAGACCTGGGTTTTATTCCTTGCAGGCTGGCTTTGTGATTTTCGCTTAGTCCCCCACTCTGTCTCTGTTTCTTTCCCGCTAATGAAAATGATCGGATTAGGTAGTCATCGAGGGCCTTCCTGGTCTGTATCCTGTAATACTTTAATTGGCTGAAAAGTGGAAAATGTATCATTAATGTATTCTAGATAACCTGGCTTTAGTTGGTTTTGTATATTCTTCAGCTGATGGTGGTAGAATTTGAATGGGATCTTGGTTAAATAGCAGAAAAGACCAGTGCTGTGACTGCTTTTTATGAAGTAGATATGTGCAAAAGAGGCCATTGAAAAAAAATTACAGTTGCTTAAGCATACGTATATTTGGCTCATTGGTGTTAGGCTGTCCACGATGGCATTTAAATTTGGTAAAACTTTCTGTTCCAAGTTTAAGAAAGGCAATGATGTTTTGAAATGAAGCTAAGTAGGTTGAAATAGCTAGTATAAAGAGAGAATCTGATAGAACTTTGGAACTGGAAGGGGCCTAAGAAGTCCTGGTACATGTTCAGCCCTTTTACTTTACTGATGAAGAAACCGAGGCTCCAGGAACGGAGGAGACTTGTTTAAGTCTGTAGCCGAGATGGATCACTGCACTGCCAGGTCACTGCTTCCCTACTTCCGTGCTGGCAGTTCCTCAAAGCTTCAGGGTTGTTGTTTTTTGTTTTTTAACTTACATGAGGGGAGAGGAATACCTTTCTGGATTCAATTTGAGGCATGCAGCTCCCTTGCTGACTAATGGCCCATCATGGTTTTTGGGAAAATATTGCTTATATTCTTAGTTTCTCTAATCTCACAGTTGAATGGATAGTATATTTTGCAAGGCTTTACTTTTCATTTGATGTTTCACAAATGTGTTTTTATTGGCTCTTTCAACCAAAGGTTTTTAACCTAGGGTCCACAGATGCAATCCAGGGAGTCCTTGAACTTGGGGGAAAAATTGCATTTCAGTTTTCACTATAACTCAAACTGAGATTTAGGATTTCACTCGACTAAGAGAATAGGCAACAAACAGACTTGCTGCTAGATTTGTTGTTTACTGCATTAATACAGGCTACATACACTAGTGTATCACAATTTAAAACTATCTTGATAACTAAGTATAATTGACTTCACTTACAATCCTTTGTATTTTACTTTATGCACTTAAAAACATTTTCCTTAGAAGGGTTTAGCAGGCTTTACCAGATTGCTATTGGGATCCTTGGAACACAAATGGGTTAAAAGCCTTGAAAATGAAAGCATATAAATATGACTGAAAATGCAATATTTTAGTGGAAACTGACCAGGGACTACGTGAAGGTCAGAGAGCACCTACTTTTCCCCCTTTGGATGGTGTAGTGTTCTATCAAATAAGACAGAGAGGACTGTTGCTTGAAGAGTTCATGGTCTTTATTTTTTAAACAAGCAGCTCCTTATTTCTAGATGCTCTTTTTGTTTTAACCTTGGCACTTTGCCTTGTTTCCTCCTCCTCTTGGTAGTAATAAGAAACCTTAAAATATACCCTAACACTCCCTTTTCTCATCCTCCTCTCTAACTTGGGCTCAAAGACATCAAACACTAGTATTGTTTATAGACTAAAAGGCCTTTGATTCTTTCTTTAAAAAAAAAACAATCTTTACTGTATTCAGCGTCACTTGGTGTGTGGGGTGATTTGAAGAGCTCAGATCTGTTGGTGTGGATGGAGTGTCTAATTCTGTAGGCTATTAAGGGTCACGATGTAACTGGCTTTGGGTTGCTATATATTCCTTTACTAACTTTAGCCTTGTTTGGGGTCTGTGGCTGTCTGTATGGTTTCTCGTCTGGCTTGCTCAGATTTATTTGTTTCTCTCTTTAACACACCAAGACCGAAACC